CCAACCAATCCAAGATTATATGAAGGACTGAAACTAACCAATCCAAGATTGTATGAAAGACGTAAACCAATCTTTTCAAGATTATAGATTGGTTTCCGTCGTTCTTACAATATTGGATAGGTTGGATTTTGTCAGACTAGTTTACCGAAATCTTAGAGGACTTGAATTACGAATTTAAAGGAGGTTAAAAAAAAACTTTTCCTTGGTTCGATGTTTTATAATAATTAATTGATAAATTAGAAAGTATGGCTGCCATTATCGCACAAATCTCTCTCCAGGTATATTTTGCTAATCATTAAATGGTCATCATAATAAAAACAGGGTCTTGGAAATATATTTGATACGAGTATCAAAAAAACTTTTTTTTTTCTGCCTAAAATAAAGTAATTTTTGAAATATAAAAAACGGACAAATGGACAATGCATGTTTATTAAACACTTAATTACTGAGTGAGTTTCTAATTATTAACATTTTTGTATTATTATAAAAGTTTCTTCTAATCCTAATTTGTTATAATAAAATTCTCTGCTGGCGAAAAAAAGAATTTGACATTTTTGATGAAATTATTTCACCCTTAATAATCCATACTTTTAAAAATTTTAATCTTGACACTAAAAATCATGTTAAAAGCATTCATTTATTTTCATAATCATACATGTCAACGTGATTTAAGGGATTTTAATGTGACCCTCAATTAATAATAAAATGGCATGTCCGATTCATAACAGTACCTTTCAGCCCTTATATCTGTATTACAATGAGAAAGATATTGTAGTTTTTCTATTTGAAAAATGTTTAATTCTGACAATTCCTTTACTGTGACTGCAGCATAAATCCGCAAATCGCATTAACAGAGAAGCAAGGATAAAAAAATAATCTTTTAGCTAAAAAAAAAACAAGAATATCTCAAGAAAATTCTTGATAATACTAAGGTTTTTAAGAGTACCGTAGTGATATGTAGAATCAGAAATGATGATGATACTGGTCAGTCCCGGGATTCGGGAAGAGTTGAACTCAGCATAAAATGTTTCTTTTAGCTTATATGTACAGGGTGTCCCTTAACAAACATGACAGTTGAGAGACGGCTTTCGGATCGTCTTTAATTTTGACACTGTTATAAGGACATTATTTGTATCAATAATGATTTCAATTTTAATGTCTTAAAACATAAAGACGACATTTAAGCAATCTAACGTATATCTAATGAGATAAGAGACGATGAAAAATCACCCTGTAAGTTAGTGAAATATTTATTTGTACAATGCTGTGCTTCCAGGTTCAATAGACTATTTATAATTATAATTTAAGTCTAACAGTCGTCTTCATATTCAAGATTTTTATTGATCCTAATGCAGGATGGGAGGAAGGCCAGCCACAACAACTTCTCGTCCGAGCCACATTCTCCTCATTTTCTCGTGCGAACCACATCGAAATCCTCGTCCTTCGTTTGTTATGTGTTAAAAAGTTTCTAATTCTTGAAGATAAAACTATTTTTTAACAAACCTGGCCACGTTAGGGCATAAAATATGGATAGACTGAAGTATTGCAATTATTTTCCCCATGGAACCACCTGGATAAAATCTATGGTTTTCAGATAATTAAGAAAAAAGATTAAAGTTCTATAATCTCAGAATTATTTGCGGCATTTTACACCAGGAATATCTAAAATGCGCGTAAAAAAGGTGAACATTTTTAAAGACATAGAACTCGAAAACTTTAATTCAATTGAGACTATTTTTTTAGATTTACTAAAATTCAATATTTCATCTATGCCCTAACGTGGCCCGATTCTTAAAAAAAAATGTTTTATCTTGGAGGACTAGACACTTTTAAAAAATAATATTGGAAGGACCAGGATTTAGAGGTGGCTCGGACGAGAAAATGAGGAGAATGTGGCTCGAACTAGTAATAATTGTGGCTGGCCTTCCTCCCCTCACTGCAGGACACCTGTGAAGGTCCCGTGTGTTCCTTGTGCTTTATTGATTGATTAATTCCAGAATTCTAAGAGAAATAATATAAGACGACTTCCACCTGAGAAGTGTGCGTATAATTTAAACCCATTTCCTCCAACATTTCTCCCAGCTGTACATAACAAGTACATATCCAGGTAAACAGCTGTACATAACAAGTACATATCCAGGTAAACAGCTGTACATAACAAGTNATATATTCAAATATATAACAAGTACATGTCCTGGTAAACAGTTGTAAATAACAAATATATATTCAAATATATAACAAGTACATTTCCTGGTAAACAGTTCTACAAAACAAGTATATCCAGCTATACTAGTGTACATTGTAAATATTTATACAGGTGTTTTGCTGTAAATATGAAGTACATATACAGGTAACCAGTTGTACATAACGAGTACATATATCAAGGTAATAAGTGCATTTGCTGGCATAATGCAGAATTGCGAGAATATCCCATATTAAATGAAGGCGAAAAAAGAATTTGTTTAATGTTGCATCGAAAATTCTTTAGTGATTGTTATGTAAACAAAAAGTTTACTAAAGCTGTATTTTTCCAAAATGCCTAAGGGTTATGTTTCAGCTTTAAAGGGGTACATGATTAATTTGCTCAAACATAATCAGAACTTCTGTGTTGAATATCAATTTTTTTAGAATAAAATCTAAATCTATCTGAATTTGTTTGTTTTTGGAAAGATAAATGAATGTTTATTTATAGCTTGGTTTTGAGATTCTACGTTGAGTAGATCGACTTTAACAGAATCGATTTTAAATAAGCTTTGAAAACGACATGATATGATGCAAATTCTTTAGTTGTCCTCTTCAATATGGGCCGGATAAAGTGTAGATAGATACACGACTGTTTTACTTTGTTATCATAAAGAGACTTTAAACCTTTTTAACTTATATGTATTCATTTAGTAGATATACAATATGTATACAGAGGCGTATATCAGAGGGGGGAGGACTTTGGGGCTGAGCCCCCTCTGAAACCGTAAACTCTATGATTTCCAGAGGGGGTTTTAGGCCTCAACGGGTGCTAAAACCAAAGCCCCCCCCCCAAAAAAAAATTATAATTTCCGTATACGCCCCTGGTTATATGTATTAGGAGAACAGAACACCTGCGTAGAAAAGAAGAGAAAAATAAACATCAAAGACTGATTTTACAAAAGATAATTCAGGTATTTTCACACAGGATAATAAACAAAAGTTTTTAATTCCAATTGATTAATTTAAATTCAATTAATGACTGTCGACGTTATATCAATTGATCCCCCATTTAAAGAGCATCAACTAATATGCCAATTGCAATAATGCCTTTTCATCAAACATTTTCTAAGCCCTATATCATTGCAACCTGATGGTAAAAAACCTTTAGAATTTATAACTTACATGTGCACTTTTTGATCTGACAGAATTCATAGTTGAAAATATCAAAGGTGTGCGACATCAAGTTGCAATGACTAAGACATTGAAAAATCAGAGTTGGAGGCAAGAACTCAGTTAATTAATTTTTCTGAAAAAAAATGCTCAATTCTGAAANAATTCGTTCAAATTTCTCCAAAATTCGTTAAATTTCTCAAAAATTCGTTAAATTTCTCCAAAATTCGTTCAAATTTCTCCAAAATTCGTTCAAATTTCTCCAAAATTCGTTAAATTTCTCCAAAATTCGTTCAAATTTCTTTAAAATTTGTTAAATTTTTCCAAAATTCGTTCAAATTTCTCCAAAATTCGTTAAATTTCTCAAAAATTCGTTAAATTTCTCCAAAATTCGTTCAAATTTCTCCAAAATTCGTTCAAATTTCTCCAAAATTCGTTAAATTTCTCCAAAATTCGTTCAAATTTCTCCGAAATTCGTTCAAATTTCGCAAAAATTATTGAACAACTCATTTGCCAATTATAACATTTTACCCAAGATTCACATCAAACAAGATATTTTTAAGTGTTTTTAACAAAAAAGTTCAAATTTTCTCAGTGGATATCGCGATCAAGGGTTGTAGATAAGCGCGTTCTCACTTAACAGTTTTGACCTCTGATAGATATTATATTATTTTGTTTCAGGTTCCTTATTTATTATTCTTCCCCTGATGATTGTTGTTATTCTGTTTTTATAAAGTCGGAAATAAAATATTTAAACTAAATAAGATTATTGAGAGATGACTCAAAAATATTGTTACAGATTTAATTTTTAATTGGCCATTCATTTAAAAAGAAGAGTGGCATATATGATTACCAAGGGTACCCTGTAAACCTATATGAGTATCAGTGAGGAAGTAATCGGCGTTTTTCTATAAAAAAATTGCAGAATTCTGTTTGTTTCTGTCAATGTGCAAGACACATTTACAGAGAAAATAGACTTAAAAATAATCATTTTTCACCTCGACTAATAAGAAATTTTCATTTATCCAAGATCAGCCAAAGTTTTTAATAGGACAACTCACAACGGAAGCTGTACATTTAAAATTTCGTCTGCACTCTCTTTAAAGCGTTTTTTTATCTTAGACATTGTTTCTACTCTATATATTATAGAAAAGTTTGCACGATCATAAACTTTCCAGAATCGTCGTTTCTTTAGTCTGTTCCACTTTAGTATTTATTCACTTTGGCGCTACACGCCCATCTTCTAAATTAATTGTGAACATGTTCTCTTTGTGTACATCGTAAAACAAAACAAAAATAATTCGCGGATTTTTACAAAAAAATTTCGTGGATTTTCAAAATTTTCAAAAATATAATGAAGATCGAATTTTGATGGAGACAAATATTTGAAATTTTGATAATTCATAAACCTTCCCTGGGGCTCCGTGAGGTCCCATAAAAAATTTGGGCCCGATCGGTTCAGCCGTTTTGACGTTTATTGGATACAAACAAACAGACACCCAAACAGGCAGACAAGCCAAATTTATAGATAGATACAGTTCAATACTATGTAACTGTAATGGGATAGAAATCAAAACTTGTATTTCAAAAAGAATAAACAAGTTAAAGATAAACCCCCATATTCTTTAATTGATATTTATTTATTAATACTACGACCGGGAAATAAATTACAAATGAAATTAATTACGACGCTGAACTTTTAAATCATTTATACAAAAAAAAATAGTTTCTTTTTCTAAATATTTATTTGAAGATAAACTCTAAAATATAATAACAACATTTTATAATACCAAAGATAAAACTTTGGCTTATTAACTTGACAAATTACTTAATTCTATAACCAGCTAAATTTTAATAATTTCTAAAAAATGTTTGAAAAATGTTACGACTATTTACATCGAACGCATCGTATTAAGTAGAGAGGGGGTCCCAATAAACATGGGAATTGAGAGACGATTTTTTAAGGATTAGCCTTTTCATATAATTACGTCTGCTATAGTATGTTCTATGGAGTATAACCGATAATTTGCATGTTTTTCTCAATAAACTGAAGTCGTCAATTAATTCCATTCATGTTAATTGGTCAAACTTTATTAGTAAACCAGTCATAAATAATTATTTTGAATGAATTGAATATAAAGGCACTAGAGATCGGAAATAGCGCAATCTATTTTGATTTCATACTCGTGTCAACAAAATGATTGTTTTGAATTTGCAGTACAACGTTTTATCATCAAAATCATTAAAAATGATTTACAGAAATTTAAAAAAGGGAAAAAATTCAACTGTGTAACTTTTTGAATAAATTACAACAATGCATGATACATATATATATAACATTAACTACAGTGGTCAATACAATACCAATACAATATCAATACAAAGACTTTTTATTCAAATTTTGATTATTACAAGTTTACAAGTAAACAAAGAAAAGCTTTTATTTGACAATTTTACTTTATTTCCATGTTTTGATGTACCCATGCTGTTTAAAACCTTGTTAGGATTGAAACTGAAATCGAAAGTAGTCTTCATTGAATTGATATATACGACGACCACTGTAAACATGATAAGTTATGATATTTAACAACATGGGTGTGTCAGAGATTCATATTTATTTTATATGCTCAATGAGAGAACAACTTTAGTGTAGTGGTTTTACATTTTTATCTATTTATCGACAATTTAGATTCAACATTATACAGGGTATCCCAGTAAACATGGTGATAAATTCAGCATTATACAGGGTACCCAGTAAACATGGTAATAAATTCAACATTATACAGGGTATCCCAGTAAACATGGCAATAAATTCAACATTATACAGGGTACCCAGTAAACATGGTAATAAATTCAACATTATACAGGGTACCCAGTAAACATGGTAATAAATTCAACATTATACAGGGTATCCCAGTAAACATGGGAATACATTATACAGGGTATCCTAGTAAACATGGGAATACATTATACAGGGTATTCCAGTAAACATGGGAATACATTATACAGGGTATTCCAGTAAACATGGGAATTCATTATTCAGGGTATCCCAGTAAACATGGGAATTCATTATGCAGGGTATCCCAGTAAACATCTAAAATTCTAAAAATCGACTTTGCTGTCAAAACGTGTATGAATAAAAATAGATTGTTCTTATTCTCAGCTTTCCAAATTGTGTTCGAGTCTTTAAAAATTGACGAAAATATTAAATGTTAAAACAGTTTTTTTGTTATTTGAATAATTAAAGAAAAAAAGTTGAGTAATTTTTTTTCAATTGTTTGCTTGAATACCCTGGAATAAACATTTCAAAGGAACGATGAATTGTGACTTTGAATTTTGGTAATTTCATTTAGTTTTTAAAAACTTCTTTTATAATATCTCTTTTATATTTATACCATGTCTTTGAATTAAAAAACTTCATGAATATCTACCTTATACCATGTCTTTGAATTAAAAAAAAACTTCTTTAATATCTCCCTGATACCATGTCTTTGAATTTAAAAAATGTATTTTTGATTAGGTTTAGTTGTTTGTAAAACTAACTCGAAATATTTTGTCAGTTTTGAGTCGATGAAATGCCGTTTTCCAGTTTAATAGCTTCTTCAATTCTATTTTGAAATTGTCCTTTCGCGAAGAATGTGAGACTGTCTTTGAATTTACCTAGTCCTAATTAATTCATAAATGGTAGACCACATTTTAAAAATCCCAAGATTATATAGTTTTCGGTGATACATGTTTTTCTTGATTCCCATGGTTATTGAGACACCCAGTTTTAAACATTTAGAATACAAAAATTCCGAAAGACGAGGGAATTTCCATTTATAATTTTAGTTATTTGTAAGATTCAGCATGAAGTTACAATGAAAAAGAACTTTTTGAAGTTGTAACCGTTATATTCAAAGTAACCGTAAATAAATTGGAACGAGTTGCGGATACAGGGGTGAGCATTAAAGCAATGGTTCACCCGTGAAAAATTGGTGAATTTGGCTGAGGAAAATGGAGTTGATACATTACGTCAATTAACATTTGGTCAACTTACATTTCGTCAACCTTACATTTCGTCAATTACTACATTTGGGCAATTTACATTTCGTCAACTTTATATTTCGTCAATTACTAAATTTGGGCAATTTACATTTCGTCAATTTTATATTTCGTCAATTAATACATTTCGTCAACTGTGACAATGGCCTAAAATTTGGTCAACTTTCATATTTGAAAGCATGATTCCCAATCCCAGCTTGATTATCAGCAGAACAAATCCCTGAATATTTGCACACAAACTTCGCAACAACTCAATATTTAGAGCATTAAAGCAATGGTTCACCCGTGAAAAATTGGTGAATTTGGCTGAGGAAAATGGAGTTGATACATTACGTCAATTAACATTTGGTCAACTTACATTTCGTCAACCTTACATTTCGTCAATTACTACATTTGGGCAATTTACATTTCGTCAATTTTATATTTCGTCAATTAATACATTTCGTCATCTGTGACAACGGCCTAAAATTTGGTCAACTTTCATATTTGAAAGCATGATTCCCAATCCCAGCTTGATTATAAGCAGAACAAATCCATGAATATTGGCACATTAACTTCGCAACAACTCAATATTTTAGTTAGTTTTCAGATTCAACATGGAAATCCAGGCTCGGGCATATTTTCATCTTGTCCAACAGGAAAAAGAACATTTTGGTAGATTGTCAGAACTTCGAGTACAAGGATCAACACCACAAATATAATGGAGTGAAGTCATGGAACGGTAGATTGGTAGATGGAACAACACTATACTCGAGCTACCTGCATGCAAATATTTCATGTTTGGTCTCAGAGGAGACTAAACTATTGTGACGGCTCTCATCTGTCAGTTTTATTTGTACTTTTATATTACAATTGTTACAATTGTTCCATTTTCGATATCTAAATATATGTAAAATGCAGACACCCTGTAAATCAAAATTGACCAAATTTTTAAGTTTTTGTTTCAGTTGACCAAATGTAGTGGGATGAAATGTATCAGTTAACATTTGGTAACAGTTCACCAAATGTAGTAATTGACCAAATGTAAGGTTGACGAAATGTAAATTTACGAAATGTAAGTTGACCAAATGTAAATTGACGAAATGTAAGTTGACGAAATGTAAATTGACGAAATGTAAATTGACTTAATGTAAATTGGCGAAATGTAAGTTGACGAAATGTAAAGTGACGAAATGTAAGTTGACGAAATTTAAATTGACCAAATGTGAATTGGCCAAATGTAAGGTTGACGAAATGTAAATTGACGAAATGTAAGTTTACGAAATCCCAAGTAAATTCCTGTATCCGCCCCTGACTGGAACTTTTTATTTGCAAATTATTTTTTACGGTTTTAAAACAATTTACCATGGGGTCACGCAATTTCAAGACATCGTGTAAAATTAACTTTATGAGAATTTAGATTTAAAAATTATGATTTTAATTTCGTGAGAGAATTTATGAATAGAATAAAAATTTATAAATAAAATGAGAATTTAAACAAAGAATACATTTTATATTAACATTAAATGATTTTTTTAATGAGAATTAAGAAGTATAATATGAGAATTTAGAAGCATAATATGAGAATTTAGAAGTATAACATGAGAATTCAGAGATAAGATTAGAATTTAGAATTAAAATGAGATTCTAAAAAATAAGCTGAGAATTTAGAAATGTAATGAGAATATATATTTAGATAAGAATTTAGGGAATACTGATTTTTAAATTTTATATATTTTAAAAATTCCTCTTGTTTTAGTTAGTGCAACACCGGAATTTTGAGTTTTGTATTGTTTGAAAATATCATTCTGGGTTTAAAAATAAAAAACCGCCAACTATATAGAAACAAGAAATTGTTCAAAATGTACGAAAAGTAAGAAAGATGAGTAAGGAAGAGCTAAGATTAATACTAAGATATGGGCGCAAGTAAATCAGGATAGTTTTACCAGGAAGCTCTAAATCTACTGTACGTTTTATAAATATAGGATTGCATTGCCACCCCTCTAGTTTCCCTATTGATGTTGTTGCCTTTGTTGTGTAAATAGGTTGAAGACTTGGAGTTCTTTCTAATCTTGTTGAACTTGTTGATCTTGTTGATCTTGTTGATCTTGTTGATCTTGTTGATCTTGTTGATCTTGTTGATCTATTCCTTCAGTAAATGTTCCTTCAAAGAGGTCAGTAAATGTTCCTTCAAAGAGGAAATATCTTTTCCCTTGAGACTCAGACTTAGCCTAAACAAGATGAACAATATGTAAATGTACATTGTACAATGTACATTGTGCATTATGCAGAACAGGACAACACAATGTTGTCACATTTCATGTGTTTAGACATTGCAAAAATCGGAAATTTCTGCAAATGAATGATTTTAGACGGAAAAAATACAAAACTGTTCCATGTGTCTGGCAAGTTGTAAGCGGAATTTTATACCCCCCCCCCCTTCCTATGTGATTACAGTTTTTGCTTTGAAATATGTTAAATCTGTTCATTCTTCATTTTGTCTCTATTGCGTATAACCGCGACGATTGTTTTTTGTAGAATCCCCACAAAGTAAAATCAACTTTCAGCGGAAAAAAGTTAATCTTTGTCATTTTTGCATCTAGATGAAGGGTTAAATTGAACATCTTTGAATTATGGGTCACTTGTAATTACGTAGAGATTCCCTTTAATTTAATGTTTTATCTTTGCACAGCCCGGATTCATGAAATATCCATCTATTGAATTTGAATCCAAAATTTTAAAATTAAGAACATTTTCGATAGAATATCCGATTCAATCTTCGGGCTTTATCTCGTAGCATTTTAAATTTTCCTTTAAACCTTTAGAAGGATTGCCTTAACATTTTCAACTGATAAAAATGTTTGAAGGGACTGTTAGCTTAATTTCATGCAGAGATAACAATGCCCGATTCACAACGGTACCCTTATAAGCTTTGACTTATCAAGAATTTATTAGATATAAACGTATAATTTTGAAAATTGATAATTTTCAGTTGTGGTTTTTCTACAAAAGTTACTTGCTCATTTCTACTGAAGGAAAACATATGGGAATAATCATAATAAAATGCTTTTAAACATAGAAAAACGACACTGTCTTCCACAGTACCGTTGTGAATCGGGCATTGTAATCTCAGCCTGAAAGGGTCATTAAAAATTACGCTTACAGTCCCCTTTAATACCTGAATCCTTCTTTTTCTTCTTGCAATTCCTTCTGCTGTATTGACCATCCAATAACTTGTCTGATTTATTAAAATATAAATGAAGGGATTCATCTCCCGGCCGGGGTTCTAGAAATTTCTTATATACAGCAAGAACCAGAAAACTTGGGAATAGACAGACGACTTTTAGACTCAAGTTATTACTTTTTAATAGTCCAACGAACATGGTACACTGCAAATGTGCAGTGTTAACAGACCCATTTCACTTAATAAGTGATTTAATAAGTTCCTAGTACAAAAAGTTTTGCTATAATGTCGTCTTCCTATTTCACAGTTGCAAAGTTGCAATCTTAGGTTTGATTAGCGTAAAGAGCCAATTATGGTGGAATAATCTCACTTCCCTACTTAGAACGAAAATAATGTTTCTGAGAAGAAAACGTTTGCGTTTACTAAAAACAGTTTTAAAAATGTAGTAAAAGGAATTAAAAAAATATTTAAAATAATTTAAGGTCGTATTCCTCTATCATTATATTGTGGTGACTGGTGTAAAGCATATTTATATTGTTCCTGTCGAATCCAACACTAAAGAGGTTTGGTCTCTGGTTCAAGTCCTCAGCCCAGGCAGTGCAGCAGGCCATTCTAGATAAAGTCCAGGGGAGAAAAGTCCCAATGCATGATTTGTCTAAATCTGACACACAATGTCAGATTTGTGATATAAGCCCGGTTTAGAGCTTTCATTCCCTGAACTCTAAGTGATTTTTTTTCGAATGTGCAACTTTTTAAAATGTATGCATAGGTCTGTTCTGATTCTGAGTATAGAAAACCCTTGGGATTTGAATTGTTTTACAGTGTTGATGTTTTAGGAGTAAAACACCTTTTTATGGTGGAACTGCTTTTTTCTATGTATTAAAAAATATTTTGCAATTCGACCAAACATACAAACTTTCACAAAAAAAACTATGCACTTGCCCATTTACATTATTTTAATATCTGAAATTATTTGAATGACTGAACGAGCAAGAAAAAGATTGAATAAAAGGAATGAACATATTACCAATACTCGAAATACCTTGAATGTCCTTGTCTCGAAGAACGTGGTAGTCTTGCAAGACGATTTCCAGTCAGATCAAATATTCGAATATTCCTATAAGAATGAAGATTAAGATTAAAATTACTTAAATTTTAGTGTGAAATAATTGCATTTTAACAAATAAGATTTCAAATATTATCTTAAGTTTTTTCAAAAAATTGGGTTTAACTGTGTCTGTATCAAAAGGAATTTGATTAATTTAAATATTATTAATCATGTCATGATATTTTCACTGCCATTTTTATGTAAGTCCACAAAGAGAATTCAAATCCGTCGTTGTTTCATCTTTTATATATTATACAGAATCAGAATAAATATAGATGCATGTATGTGTTAATGCATGTATGTATGTTACATATAGCGGGCCAACCTTTGACACTTATAGAGATGTAACAAAAAAACATTACATTGGGACTCAAAGTGACATGAAACTTCTTGCTATAACGAAAAAATAATTTTAAAAAAATATTTTGCTCTTTTGCAGGCTCATCCCTAAAAAATGACCGTATAGACACAACTGGCTGTTTTCTGGTAATTAAGAATGTTAAAAAGAATACAAAAATAACTTTCTTTCCATTTTCTACTGGCTACAACTGTATGTATACCTGTTATCATACGGTACAGCTATAAGACCGACATTGTTGACACTTATTCTATTCACAGCACTGTCACTCTAAATAGACCAGTGTTTCACAGGGGTTTATTTTATGAAGAATTAATTTCCCTCCCAGGGAAAATAATAAAAAAAAGTTTGATATAAATTGGACAGTTTTACTTCCTTTTGAAAATTTTATTTTTTTTTCAATCGAATCAAACATTCCATTATAATTGGGAGGGGGGAAGGGGGTCAAGACAAGGGGGGTTTCAAGAAATGATTTTTTAAGAAAATATTATGTACTCCTGTTTTAAAAGCAACGTTCCATTAAAAGATGTTTTGAAAATTAACGTAAAATTCTGAACGGAAAGACTTTGAATAATTAATAACATCAGACGAACCGTTAGCTGAATTGAGTTTCTACACTTAGTTAAATAACATCGTTAAAAATGCCGAATTAAAAAGATCTATCCTGCCCAGTGCCCACTGCCCACCTCTTTTTAAAAGAATTGTATCAGCTTACAGGTTAAGGTAAAATTATATGATTTGGAAATTATTTCAGCTTCAACGGTTATTACATTGCAGAAATGTAAATTTTCAATATTTTGTTCTAGTTTTGGCGGGAAAATTGATTTGATTTGCTACCTGAATACTTGTCACAGCAGCTCTCATATTCCTTAAATCCCACACTTTAGTACTTCTAAATAACATTAAAACAATATGATGTTCATAATACTGAAAAGGTAAAATTTGTTGTTAATCTAAATGAATGACATTCGTCAATACTTCTCAATGGTTTTATTCCCTTCAAGTTGACGCCAATCTAAAGTTTAAAGATTTCTACCAGTTTATTTTAAAGGGTGTCCCACGGAAAACGACAGTAGCAAAACGACTTTAATGTCGTTTTTTATCTTTAAAAAAATTTGCGGCATTTTTAATTTTAGAAGCATAATTCTAGAATTAATAATTAAAAAATTGTCTTATTCTCTTGTTTTTCAAATGTGGTCTTAATTTTATACGCTTTAAATATTACCGATTTCAACTTAATTAAAAATTTGAAATCTGAACGAAATTCTTAATTTCTCCGGAAATATTGACAGCACAAAAAAAACTATACTCAAACCCGGTTTATTTATTTATTCTTCTAAACAAGCTCAAACCCGATTGTATATTTTATTGAACAAGTGGAAAACCTGTTTGTATTTTATACTGAACAAGTTATAAATACGGTTGTATATTTACTAAACAAGTTCAAAACCAGTTTGTATATTTTACTGAACAAGTTATAAACAAGATTGTATATTTTACCGAATAAGTTCAAACCAGTTTGTATATTTTACTAAACAAGTTATAAACAAGATTGTATATTTTACCGAACAAGTTTAAAATCAGTTTGTATATTTTACTGAACTAGTTATAAACAAGATTGTATATTTTACCGAACAAGTTCTAAACCAGTTTGTATATTTTACTGAACAGTTAAAACCAGTTTGTATATTTTACTGAACAATTAAAACCTGTTTGCATATTTTACTAATAAACAAGTTAAAAACCGGATTATTTATTCTGTTGAAAATTTTTAACTTGATCAAACCGGTTTATTTACCTGTCGTCCGAGCCTGACACAATGAAGTCTGTGTTTGGAACAAAGACTGCAGAGGTCACGGAATCCTGAAATCACGGATTAAAGAGACAGTGCACTTGTTTGAAAATAGTACAGGGTGTCCCAATAAACATGGAAATTCAGTGACGAATTCGATATCGTCTTTGTTATAAATTAGCATTGTTATACCTAATTTCAAAAGCCATAATATTATTATGTCTGCTAGAGTTTATTTTATAAAAAGGGTAAAAGACTGTAAAGATGTGTTTATAATGTCTTTGCAAGATGAATAGTGAAGAAGTTTACTCTACTTGTATTTTGCGATTTTCAATTGTTTTAAGCTAAGTACACCCTTATGCAGCCATTTACTAAATCAAACAATTATTTAAAAAGACGATATCGAATTCGTCACTGAATTCCCATGTTTATTGGGACACCCGGCCTGTACCTCAATTTTGTAATTCAACACAACGGAGATGGAATTTAAAGAATTTGAGCCGCGGTTTAAATCCGCCAAAACCCGGTTTAAATTAAGCGCCGGTTTAAATCTTGAAACATTTGATGCAATTTTAAGAGGAACCAACCATATTTAAACCTCGGCTTAAATTTAAACCGCCGCTCAAATTCTTTAAATTCGGCCACGGGTTTCTCATATGTACCGAATACATTTTTGAAATTTTGTTAAATACACAAATTTGCAAAAACACAGTTTTCCTCCTTATCTTGACAATGTATCGATAATTCTAACCCTAAAAACATCTGTTTTCCAAAAATTTAGCAAATGGGGGTATTTAAACTAGTGAATAATCCCTTTAAAAGATATTTTGAGTATTTTTATTATTGATAATTACCTGGTGTGCTTGAAAAACCATGACACTATGAATAGTTTCTCTGAAGTCCCAAAGTCGGAAGGTCGAATCCTGAAAATATAAAAAAAAAATTATGTTGTATTGCAATACAGGGAGGGCCTTTTCACAAAAATGTTCCAAATTGAGAGAAGAAAAGACAAAAAACGAATTAAATATTATTTCCCAAATTCCATGGACAATCAAAAACGTTCGTTTCATTATTTTTATTGTTTCATTATTCCAAGAGTAAAAAAGCAAACTTGTTTGGTTGAATGAATAGGATTGGATTTTAGAAATTTAATTTCAAAATAAAAATAAAAATAAAAATATTTCCAAAAAAGATTCAAAAACAGGGGTTTACACAGGGGCCAAGCATTCTTCTAAAAATGATTATGGGGGGGGGTTAGGGTCAGTAAAAAAATAAGTTGATGGTTCCTTTATTCGATTCACCGACATAAGGTCAAACGATCTAGGGTCAAATGCCATAGGGTCAAACGACATAGTGTAAAACGACCTAGAGTTGAACGACAAACGGTCAAAAACGCGACAAAGGGTAAAACGACATAGGGTCAAAAAGTGCTACAAACGGGCAAAATTTCTTTTAGACTATTTTTGGTTAATTTCAAACTATTTCTTTGTTCATTAGAACTAGTAGCCGCAGCGCTCGGCCCCCATTAGCCAATCCTAGCCGGAGCGCTCGCCCAGAAATTAACCTAACCTAACCCTAAAGCAATACATAAATTTTTTTTTATCCATTTTGACCCTTTGTCGTTTAACCCTTTGTCGCGTGAGTGACCGGTTGTCGTTTGACCCTAGGTCGTTTGACCCTGGGTCGTTTGACCCTATGTCGGTGAACCCTTTATTCCAACACCCCCGTCAAGAAGAAAAAATAAAAGTCCGGATTATCATAAGAAAGAATTTCCAGCAGAAATATAAATGTAAGAAATGGGAATGATGTGGGACAAGGGGATTCAGTAAAATTGGAATTATAATTGACTTTTCTCATAAAATCTTGGATAGAAATGGACCAGGCCATGGACTACACTATTACAACCTGTGTATAACGAGAGTGGACGGTGGATGGGCGGATTTTTGGTAATGTCACTTTGGTAATGACAATTTGGCAATGACAATATGGTAATGACAATTTGGTAAGGTGCCAATTTGGTAACGTGACAATTAGGTAACGACAATTTGGTAACGACAATTTGGCAGCGACAATTTGGTAATGACAGTTTGGTAAGTTTACAAAAGTCCCAATATATGACTTGACAGTTTGGTAACGACAATTTGGTAATGACATTTTGGTAATTAAATAAAAATTACAATTTAATAATGACAATTGGTACCAACAATTCGGTAACGACATAAGAGTGACTTTTTGGTAATGCCAATTTGGTAAGGTGAAAATTTGATAAAAAGGTTCTAATTTGGTAAGTATACATAATTCTATTTATCAATAATTAATTAATTACATTATGATGGGTTAGTTTAGGTTAAGACAATTTCTGGGCCGAACGCTAAGGCTAGGATGGCTAGGGGGCCGAGCGCTGCGGCCTCCTTAATTTTAGAAGTTGGTTTTAGCTGATTATTTAACGCTTCTTATTTAGGAAGTTTCTTTTAAATTTTGTAACTGTAATACCCTTTTCTAATCGCAGCACTCGGCTCAAAAGTAGTCTTAACCCACTGACCCAAAACACATTATTAGACAGTACATTATTCAACATTTAAGTGGCCGCAGATCTCGGCCCCCACTAGCCCATCATAGTCGCAGCGCTCGGCCCAGATATTTTCCTAACCTAACCTAACCAAAACCAAAATAATGTGAGAGACAGCACATTATTCATCATGTTAGAGGCATTGTCTTAACCTAATCTTACCCTATATAATGTGAGAGCAGCCAGCACATAATTTAACATTTAGGAGGCAGCATAGCTCGGCCCAGACATTTTCTTAACCTAACCTAACCCAACATAATGAGAGAGACAGCACATTATTCCACATTTAAAAGGCCGAAGCGCTCGGCCCAGAATTGTCTTAACCTAACCTAACCCTCAATAATGTGAGAGAAAAACTTAAATTGTCTAATCTCTAAATCTTTGCAACCTGATATCGTAGACCTTTGATTTTTTAACATAATTTTACTTTAGACAAAAGTACCTTTAGACCAAAAATTACTTTAGACAAAAAGTTACTTTAGGCCAAAATTTATTTTAGACGAAATGTTACTTAAGACAAAATATTACTTTAGACCAAAATTTACTTTAGACCACATGTTACTTTAGACAAAATGTTATTTAGACCAAATGAACCATAGACCAAGAAAATTTTAACATTGACGGAATGTTACTTAGACCAAAATGAATTTGACAAAATGTTACTGTGCCCCTGTGTCACTTTTTTGTAGTTACCATAATTATCGTTACCAATTTGTGACTTTTATGTCGCTAACAAATTATCATTTTTTTGTAGTTACCAAAATATTATTACCAAATTGTCACATTTTTGTAGTTACTAAATTGTTATTACCAAATTGTCACTTTTTTGTAGTTACCAAATTTTGTAAATAAAAAAGTGAACCATTCCTTAATTTAGTATATTTTTACCTTGCTGGCTGTAACAACTAATCTCTGAGTAGGATGGGTTGTTGTATGTGTTAGGTCCTAAAAATGTCACGGTTAACATCTTTTATAGGAACTGTTCTTTTTGCTCAATTTCAAAATTTGAAATTTTTTTGCCGTTTGATTTGATTTTGACGGAAAGTTGCCAAGCCTTAGATGAAGGTCAATGAAGCCGCCCATCTTACTCTCTCCCGGATAGTTAAATTTATGATGGCTGACCAACTAGTAGAACGTTGAATAGATGAATGGAAACCCCGCGAATGGGAGAACTAAGTTAGCCTCGCATAAATTTACTGATTATCTACACTAGATAATAATGAATGACTACCTCATCATGACCAACTAGTTGGTTTAATAGTTCTCCTGTAGAAGAATCCCAAACACAAGCTTGTCTGTCCCAACCTCCTGTCACAACCTTAAAGGGACAATATTTAAAGAGTGTTAAAGGGAGAGTTTAAGAAAAATATAAAATGGAATCAAATTCTGCGGCGTTTACGGTACAATTGTTATTTCTATCCAATACTTAGGGAATTCATATTTACCTGATCTCCTCCTGGGAACCAATCTCCTGAGATAACTACCCCTGAATGCCCCTGAAGAACCATGAGAGGGGTTCTTAGGACACTTCCCAATAAACTATCTTCATATTCAGCGTACTGTGCAATAAATACCATCTTAACATANTTGATCGCGACCCATGAAAGTTATATCTGATGTTCCTATCTCGAGAAATTGATTTACAACTTTGTCAAATTTATACGAAAATTAATATATATACAATTTTGTATAAAAGCAGTGGCTTTAAAAAGGTCAAATTCAGCAAATATGCAACCAATCTGAAAACAAAGATATCCCAGAGAAAGCTAATTGTAACTTAGGTTTACTTTAATTCTAATTTTATATTTGTAATTTCTATTTTTTATAGATTTAATTCATAATATTATTTATACGTCCGTATTACTTGACCAGAAATTCCACCAATGGCAGTGCAGTACAGTGGTCACGTGATAAAGGCGGAGACACGTGACCAGTATAATGCTCTGCCATTGGTGATAGTTCTGGTCATGTGATTTAAGTTTAAGATTTTCTAAATTTTACATATATGAACTTTCGTATAATTTTAACACAGTTGTATTTCAATTTCTCGAAACAGGAACATCAGATAAAACTTTCATGGGTCGCGATCAAGAGCTAAAATGATTAACTTTCAGCCTATACCCCCTCTTCATTTTTCCTTTACAGTCCCTTTAAGATGCAAATTAAAGGAAGGAATTTTGATCTTTTCAAACATATTTTCATATTTTATGTCCAGTAAATGGCTTCAAGCTTAATTTAAAGTGGCTCTTCACATGGCCATGCCCGATTAACAACGGTACCTTTGAAATTATTATATGATCAGTAATGTGGAAGATATTGTCGTTTTTCTAGGTTTAAAACTATCTAATTCAGATAATTCCGATATATAATCCTGCAGTAGAAATGCGCAAGTCACCTTTGTAAAATAATGAGTTTTTAAAATTATAAACGTTCATATATAATTCATACTTGATCAGACAAAGCTTTTAAGGGAACCATTGTTATTAACAAAATGACATATTTGCAGAAAGGGTCAGTTGCTTGATCACGCTTACAGTCACATCAATTTTTGAAACTCGCATGAAGGGTCAATTGAACACAGTCATATCAATCTTTGTAACTCGCATGAAGGGTCAATTGAACACAGTCACATCAATCTTTGAAACTCGCATGAAGGGTCAATTGAACACAGTCATATCAATCTTTGTAACTCGCATGAAGGACATTGTTATTAACAAAATGACATATTTGCAGAAAGGGTCAGTTGCTTGATCACGCTTACAGTCACATCAATCTTTGAAACTCGCATGAAGGGTCAATTGAACACAGTCACATCAATCTTTGTAACTCGCATGAAGGGTCAATTGAACACAGTCACATCAATCTTTGTAACTCGCATGAAGGGTCAATTGAACACAGTCATATCAATCTTTGTAACTCGCATGAAGGGTCACTTGAAATTACGCTTACATTCCCTTTAAAGGTACCAATGTAAATCGATTTAAATTGGGTCACTTAAAATTACGTAATTACGCCCCTTTAAATCTACCTGATTGAGTTGACCGACCCCTGGTGTCCCTGGTAGTTAAGAAGGCAATTACCACTGTGCATCCCCCAAACCTAAAGAATTATTTATCTTTTTAAAAATTACACAAACTAAAATTTTTAGTTTTTTTATCGTATCTAGATTAGTTTAGAGAAATGAGAGACGAAAATAACAATGGTAAAAAAACGCTAGTCATCATGACAGAATGTAACTACATATAATTCTGACATCTTTAACCAAACCAACCAAACCTTATAAATCAACCTAACCAAATCAAACCAAACCAAACAAACCGACCAAGCCAACCCAACCATACCAACTAAGTCAATCAACCAAAAAAAAACCAACAAACCAACCAAACCATAAAAACAACCAACCTTGGCTGTATGATCAGCTGATGCAGTTGCTACAAGAGGATTTCTTTGTTTAGCGACACAGACATCCCAGACACCATCCTTATGTCCCAGATACCTGAAGGAAATTTTTTAATGTATAATTCCAAAAATCCAAATTGCGGCATTACAACAACAATTTGCAATTTTTTGTCCATACATTTTGAAATATTCTATCAATCTGATTACTAAATTTGTGCTTGTATAATCAAAATTACAATATTTGAATCTCTATCTTCATTTCTAATGCTATTATAACTATCATTTTGGAATATATTTGTTAATAATTTGGAGTGTCAGAACGCCACGCTGGATTCCAACACAAAGGCGCTACTTTGGAATACCGCCTCCAAGGCGCCACTTTATAATACCCGCTACAAATTGGCGCCACTATAGCCAAACCTGGTGGCCAAAATTGTAAACTAATCGTTCATAAATTTGATATACACCAATGCGCAACCTCCCCGGCCTGTTAATACAAATCCGGAAAGGAAAAGAATGCTAAAATTAACAAAGATAAAACCAGTTTAGGTTCTATTTAAATGTTTAAATGGTTCCTCAAAAACATCTTTTCCATCAGGATTATCAATTTCCTCCTCAGAACTTGCAACCCTGCCACTACTCGACTCATTGTACATGTTCACAGCACACTGCCATATATGTGCAGTACCTTGTACATAATATTTATACTTATTATACATGTTAAATTAATAAATAAATAAAAATTAATTACCATCTCCACTTGTTGTGAGAACCAATTCTTTGCTTGGATGAAACCTAGATAATAATTTACAAATGGGACTGCCTACGGAATTCAAGCCCAACTGTATCTAACATTATTTAATAATCCCTGCCTGCTTTTTGCTCATTATACTAAAGCGCAATGGTGCAGGAGCGCACCTTCTAAGCTCAATAAAAAGAAGGTGGGTTGGGGAGGGGGCGCAACCCTCTCAAAGAGATTGGATAATGCACAAAAATCTAAGCCATAGAAAATGGTGAAAATGACAGGCTTTCTCAGTAGATTCAAAATCTTTATTATTATCATAAATGTTTAAAATAGTCCATTATAATTGGAATATTGTATTGAACAGATATCTTGGCTCTGTATCATCACAAAAATGACATTTAACTTAAATCAATTTAGAAAAGAATTTTTCTTTTTTATTATAATTTGTATACGAATTTCCAATATTTAATAAAATTTTCTAAAATTTAGAAAAACAATTCTGAACTATTTTAAAAGTCTAAACTATAAAAAAAGAACCTTCTCAACAAAAACCCTGCTTCAANTGCGCAACCTCCCCCCCCCCGTCCTAGATATATTAGACAAAAAGACAAGAGCTGGGAATTCTTGTATTGTGAATATCAAGATCAATGCTAAATCTCTATCTTTATTTGATATCCTGCATGGTAATCGTACCAATCAGGGGTTGAAGGAATTGATATGATCAGGGTAGGAGTAACTACTATGAAGATATGGAAAGGTACAGTTTTTCTAAATCCTCAAATTAAAAGTGCCTACAGTGGTTATCGAGATCAAGCAATCAGGATTTTAAGTATCCAACACGAAATTTTCCAGCTAAGAATAGGGTTAACAAATATAAAAGGAAGACAAGGTAAATATCAAAACATAAATATTTGAATTTGAAAAAAAATAAAATTCTATTTTTGTAATCCTCACCTTTTTACTGGAGCAGCTGTCATAGGAGGGACAGCCTTCAATCCTAGACAAATATTTTTATTCCTGATGGGATTGTTTACACCTTTTATAAGAAAAAATGGTTACGCAATTTTAGGAATTAAGAAAAAAATTAAACCAGTCTTTCGGCTCAAAGGCCATATATGATAAATGTGAGAAAATACGAATTTTCGTGGATAAAATAAATATGAATTATATTATAAAATTTAAAAAATGTTGATTGTGTGCGAAAAACTGAATTGCTTGGAGAACACTACAGTTTTCAATAAAATATCAAGCTCTCTTTTTTATGGGAAACCAAAAATATAGATTTAATTAATAATACAGAAATCTTACTTTGAAATTTTCCATACCTGACATTATTTTGTTTGTTTGATACTTTAGTTTGTTTGTGTGGGACTTAAGACGGCCTCCTGACCCAAAAACCTGAGAAAAAAAAATATAAAATATGATCGTTTCAAACATACCAAATCCTTAAATTTCAAAAATTAGGATATTACAAAATGTCCTAAACAAAATATACCTTGCTTACGATTGAACTTTTATCTAAAAAAACACACATCGGACTCGGCCGGACAATCCAAGATCTATGCAACATACCTGTTTATTCTAGCTTTTAATATGTTAAACTTTGAATATTAGATACAGTGATAACCAGAAAAATCTGGAAAAGGAAGTCGACTTTTAGAATCAAAGTTATGACTTTAAATAATCCATTGAACAGCTGTGGTACAACAATTGTGGAGTGTAAACAGGCACATTTAATAACTTTCTTAAAGCTATTTGCTTTGTAACAACATCAAATGCACTTCAGTATTGCTTCAATGTCGTCTTTCTATTCTATATTTTTCTGGTTATCACTGCATGTCAGAATTTAAACTTTCAAAAATCAAACATGACATAACATAGATATAAAACTTAGAAAAATAGAGTTTGTGCTTTGTAGTCAGTTCCTTTCGCTATATCAAGGTTTCTAAAAGTCAGAAAAAAAATAAATAGGCTGGAGAAAGGAATAAACAGACTGGAGAAAGGAATATTTAAAGGGAGTGAACAAACATTGTTATAGACATATATATAAACATTAAACAAACATGGGTATAGACTTTTATTTAAGCATATATATACATTGATAAGGATATACATTCTTATGCATATAGCTTAGGAATCCAACTTAGCCTAGAAAACTATAATCATTCTCTGTAAAAGTCAACTTACTAAACTTTAAAATGTTCAACCAAACTAAGAACACTCCTGTAGTTCTATCAGGTTTTCTTATCAAAATGTGTGGGAAACTGGTGTTCTTTACCATTTGCATAATTTTATTATTTATTAATTTTTTATTTTATAATTCTGATATGCATGCAACCGATTTAGGGGTACTTTGATATTTCAAACAAAGAACTATGAACTCTGCTGAATCAAATCGATTGTCAAAGTTTGAAATATCAAATGTTTACAAAAATAGATTGCGAAGATAAAGGAAAAATGACGAAAGTTTATGATATGAAAAAGTTTTTTATCCTATTTATGCAACAAAGTAAGTTTTCTTTTCTTAATATTTGAAAAAACTAAAATCTAAAATTATTACACCAGTGATCAAATTCAACAATTTATAAGATAATGTAGTTTATAACCGCGTTGAACCACTTCTTTTGTGCAAAGCTGAAGAAAAACAGTTCAGCTTAATTTGTGTGGTTCAACTATGTCTCATGATTTATAAAATCTGGTCTCAGGAATTCTAAATTCCAGCAAAATGAACTTTTTCATATTTCAGTTGAGATTAAATGAAATTCAATGGTAGTAAGTATATAAAACGCAATTTATTTTTAAATCACTTTCATGCAAAGTTTTCTAGATTGAAAAGTATTTAATTCCAATATGTCAGCCTGCCGTAGAAATACGTAAATCACTTTGAAGAGAAACCATAATTGAAAATAATTAGTTTTCAAAATTATAAAGGTTAATATCTAATTCATACTTCGTCAGAAAAAGTTTTTAATTGCAGATATAAATCGGGCATTGCCATCTTTGCATATTGCATAATTAATTACATAAAAACAACGCGCGCTTACAGACTCTTTAAGGATGCCCCTCCGACCTACCTTATGTGTTGACCCTGTAGATCTGTAGGTAGATAACCCATCAATATCATCAGCTCCCAGGGCCCTACAGTGGTCGGTGTTTAGTTCAATACAATGAAAACGACTTTTCTAATAAGTTTTGATTTCCAACAAGCTTTTTTTCCAATTACAAGTTTACAAGTTTACAAGTTAACAAAAAGAAACTGTTAATTGACATCTACTCTTTGTTAACGTGTTTTTGTGTTTCGATGCTGTTTAAAAGTTTGGTAGAAATCAAAAATTGAAATCGAAAGTGGTTTTCATTGTTTTGATATTTTTACATACTTTGTCAATTGGCGCTAAACTACAAAGCTTTCTCTCGGCTATCTTATACCAGGGATCCCCAAAGACTGGGCAGTTAGCACAAAGCATCTGATCAGAAAAGTCAAATGGAAATATATTCGCCTCAGGCGAATATCATGCGCATTTAGATCAACTTTAGTTGGTCCAACACTAATCGTGTGTATTGTTATAATATAAATATAGTTTGCATGTGCAACCATGCTTTGTTATTCCACTCAATCTTAACTTTTTACTAATGAATTCTTTTCAAGTCTATAATATCTTAAGTTTTTTTTAAAATTATTTTCAATTGTCTGCTTTCAAAACTTTACTTATTTTAAACATTTGACGTTTTCCTATACTTTCCCAGGAATCCCAGTGATTTATTAAAGAAATTAACAAAAAACGTTAATTTCTTGCTAATGCTAAAATCAAAACCTTTTATATTTTATCATTTAATGGCTGACACACGATGTCATTAAAATATGATAATTTTAGATTTTATTGGTCTGTTGTTATTGAAAAAACGTTTAACTAGTGTCTATGCAAAGGTATCATACCTTTCCGCTGGAATTTTAAACGATAAATCGGCTCTTTCTCCGGTCATAGATATCTTAGAAAAGTAAGACTAATACCAATGAACAATGAATAGTTAATAGGCAAATTAGTTTACCATGAAATTTATCCAAATAAGTGAACGATCTCTTTAATTTAAAACATCTACCTGTCCGTGCACAAGGACTCCCGTTCATATCTTTCTGTTATTAGTTCTAACTTCTCCTAAATAGGGATGGGTTTTTGATTCGTTGTTAAACGTTTTTATAAAAAGTTTGGACGTTTACTTATAGGGTGCAGTTGGTGTAAATTGAATTTATCCTCCATCCATGTAAAGATGGTAATGCCCTATTCACAACAGTAACCTTTATCTGATCAATAATGTGGAAGATATTGTCTCTCTAGGAATAAAAGATTTATAAATTCTAAAAATTTCCAGAAGTTTCTCTAGAGTAAGAATGTGCAAGTCACTTTTGTATAAAACTGCACAATTGAAAATATTATATTTTCAAAAATTGTAAACATTAAGTTCTAATTCACACTTGATCAGACAAAGCTTTTAAGGTTACCGTTGTGAATCGGACATTACCATGTTTTAAATTTAAAGTAATAATACCTTTATGTTGAAAATGGTATTTGTTATTTGTTTCCTTTCCTTACATTTCAGGAAAATCATTAAAGAAAGTAAACTTAAAGAATATAATAATCTATATAATGAAACAAGGCATTCATATAAATATCCTCCCCCTGGCTGGCCAAACAGCTGGACTGAATGGGCTGAAAATGTGTGTGGACACTCAGGGGTAGCCTGAGGTGTTATAGGCTAAAAAATCGATTTCTTTTTTTCAAATAATTTTTTACAAATTTTCTTTTTTTCGACAGGCCCTTCAGCTAGTTTGAAATATAAACTAATCAGATTCTAATGGAGCCTATTTTTTGGATTGTCGACGTAATTTCAATGAACCCTCAAATAAAAAAAAAGTTACATAATCGATTCATAACGGCTGCACTTAAAACCTATATATGCGTAGTATTTAGCAAGATATAGTTGGGTTTCTATCTTAAAGTGAGATCATTTTTTAAGTTACTTCTGTTGCTAAATCCGCAAATCCGCAAAAGTAAAGATGCTCAGATTACAGATAAAGCATTTTATAGGGCACTGTTGTAAATTGATGTATACCTCTTTAAATGGAAGTTCACTTGAAATTATATATAATAAAAAAAATAAAAACCGGATCCCAGCTCCACCTGAAGGTTTAGATTTTCTAGGTAAAGGTGTTCAAACTCCTTCTCTATCATTCCAAACAGTCCGTGCAGTTTAGCCCTGGTAGATAGATAGATAGATAGAATGTTATATAGATAGATAGATAAATATAAATATATATTTAGATAAATAGTTAGATAGATATATAGATAAATGGATAAATAGATAAAAAAGATAAATAGATAGATGGATAGAAAGATAGATATATAGATAGCTATTTAGATATTTAGATATTTAGATAGATAAATGGATAGATAGATAGATACTCGAATTTTCATAAAATATATTTTTCCTGATACTTTTATGATACTATGTAGTTCTTGTTCTAATTCAAATAGATTATTATAAATACTACAGATTAATCTTAGATATTGGATTTATGTCATAAAGTGATATATATTATTTTCTGTCATTTATAAAGGGTGTCCCACTATCATCAAAACCGGCATCTATAAAGGAATTGAGTTCTAATCCCTATAATTCGCTGGATTTGTGTGCCCTTGTTTCTGTGATTAAAGCCTAGACAAGGCATTTGTTAATATAACATTTAAAAAAGATTTCCTTTAAGTTTTATGAAGATTTTTCTTTTAACTACTTTTTTATGTACACCCTGTACAAAATACAAAAGCTGCTGGCAGTTGGTGTATCATATTATTCTTAATTATTCTGATTTGTATATGTATGTTTATTGTATATATAGTTCACCTTTGTCTACTTTTGACTGGTTGTACACAATAGAATATATATACACAGGGTGTCCCAAAAAAACGATCTTTAAAACATTGTAGCACTCACTATGGTTAAATTTTTAAACATTTGTACATTTTTGAAACCAATAAGAGGTTTGTAGCACTAAAATAAAGAAAGTATTGACCGTTTGAAGTTTGCCTTCTTGATAAATCTTCAGGTTTAAGTTCCTCCCTTCTGATTGGACAATATTGACCAACTGGACTTGCTTAAAATCAAAGAGTTTCTCCTTGCAGAACTCAGAGGAGAAGTATTTCTAGCTCCAATGAGTTTGGCAGCATCTCTGTTCATTACTGCAGCAACCCTGACAACATTTCTAGGAGTATCTAGTATCTACCATGTCTAATTCTTCCGCTGGATGAATATCCAGGACTCATCTTACTATTCACATTGAATACTGTTCCTTACTCCATTACATTTTCATAAATTCTTCTTTCATGACATAAAGCAGTTCTGTGACCCTGGTACTCAAAAGCAAGAAATTATTACTTTCCTGCGTTGTAAGCTGCAAGTTCTTGCCATTATTTAACAATAACTGAACCTTTAAGACTTGCTTTAAAAATTTGCATGTTTTAAAGACCTTAACAAAATTCCATAATATATTAAAAATTCTAAAAAAATAATATATGAACTCAACCAAGCCAAAATAACATATACTTCATACAACATAATTGAATAATACTTCCTTAATTTTAGTGCTACATACCTCTCATAGATATCAATCGATCGGAAATGTTCAAAGATTTCAACAATGTTTAAAAATTGAACCATAGCAGTAAGTGCATCAATGTCTTAAATATCGTTTTTTGGAACACCCTGTACATAAACATATCTATATTTATATAAAGTTGTAATCTCTGTGTGGGTGTCTGTTTGTTTGTCCGATCATAACTCGGGAACCCCTGGACCGATTTGCCTCAAATTTTGATTGGGGAACTCGGGAGACCCACAGAAATGTTATTGTTCAGGTGCGGGTAAATGGCGGGAGCAAGGTTACAATGTAAGGAAAGTTATTTCAGAGGTGTACACATCTTTTGTACTAGAGTGTACTGTCTCTGGGCGGTAATGTAAACACAAGACGGATGTCACAGCCTGACATGGGATCCATCTTTCACATAAATAATCAATGAAATATTCTAATGAGATTAGCTGAGCTGTTTCTAAATACCTTGTTGATGATACAGTTTAGACATTCTCTTCTGGGCAAATACATCCTTTCTTCCTTTCATTCCAGCATACAGCTTCCTAAATATAATATTCTTAGTATAATTTCATTCCAGCATACAGCTTCCTAAATATAATATCCTTAATAACCTTTCATTCCAACATACAGCTTCCTAAATATAATATTCTTAATATCCTTTCATTCCACCATACAGCTTCCTAAATATAATATTCTTAGTATAATTTCATTCCAGCATACAGCTTCCTAAATATAATATTCTTAATATCCTTCATTCCAGCATACAGCTTTCTAAATATAGTATTCTTAATATCATTTCATTCCAGCATACAGTTTCCTAAATATAATATTCTTAATATCATTTCATTCCAGCATACAGTTTCCTAAATATAATATTCTTAATATCCTTCATTCCAGCATACAGCTTCCTAAATATAATATTCTTAATATCATTTCATTCCAGCATACAGCTTCCTAAATATAATATTCTTAATATAATTTCATTTCAGCATACAGCTTCCTAAATATAATATTCTTAATATCCTTTCATTCCAACATACAGTTTCCTAAATATAATATTCTTAATATCCTTTCATTCCAGCTTACAGCTTTCTAAATAAGTATTCTGAATATCATTTCATTCCAGCATTCAGCTTCCTAAATATAGTATTCTTAATATCCTTTCATTTCAGCATACAGCTTCCTAAATATAGTATTCTTAATATCCTTTCATTTGATCATACAGCTTCCTAAATATGGTATTCTTAAAGTGAGTGTTCGCGAAAAATGAAAGGGGGTATCGGCTTACGGCGAAAAATAAGCGCCTTTGATCGCTACTAATCTTTTGTTGCGTCTAAAAGGAGAAAATTGTTAAAACCGACTCATGCAGAAGAACGTAGCGTCCATGAAAATTCAGAAAGTTGCAACATTCAACTTGGATCTAAAATAATTAATTTAATTCCAAACAAATCATTCAGTTATGACAACCAGTAGTCATGGATCATTTTTATACGACGCATTCTTATATAATTAATATTTCATATTTTTGATTTTGGTTTTTTAAAATAATATTTCGCTAGCGCTGGATTTTCGAACATTCCTGGAAAATAAGAAAATGTCGTCTTCATTATTAAAAATCCTCGAAACAGGAAATTGTTTTCAAAAGTAGCTTTCAGATAAAAAAAAATAAAAAGCATAATGAAATATAACTTAAATACGAATGCGTTGATTATTGGTTATAATATCTGAATGATTTGTTTGGAATTAAAATGTTTTTTTTTACGATCCAAGTCGAAATTAGCAACTTTCTGAATTTCTATGAACGGTAAGTTCTTTGGTATGAGTCGAAAAATTATTGATGATTATTAGTTGTAATATCTGAATGATTTGTTTGGAATTAAATTGATTCTTTTACGATCCGACTCGAATGTTGCAACTTTCTGAATTTGTATGGACGCTGCGTTCTTCTCAGGATAGACGCAACAGATAGAAGTAAGATTAGTAGCGATCAAAGGCGTTTTTTTCGCCGTATACCCCCATTCATTTTTATCGAACACTCCCTTTAATATCATTTCACATTTGCAGCATACAGTTCTCTAGAATTTGTATTTCTAAAATATAGTTCAAAAATATAAAAAAAACGATCGGACGTTTGAGCTTTCTTCTTAGCCTCAAATATCTTTGAAAAAGGCAAACAATACCTTTTTTAATATTTTTTTTTATGTTATTTGAATATGCAACCTCCTAGATTATTTATTCTTCAAATACTTGCTGCATTCGCCCAAGTAAAAAATTGATAGATTAAGATTCAAAATTTTAAGAATTTTGTGTTTTAACTTGTAAGAAATGTTTAGCAATGTAATGTGTTTTTCCTATCATTTTACGAAAAAGATGATAAAAAATAAGTATTTTAAATTTTTTTTTGAAAATTATTGTTTTTTGTCTTTAACGAAACGATAAGCTTTTTTTATAAGGGTGGGTAAAAATTAAAAACGCCATTCAATTTAGAACTCTCTTGTTTCAGGGGCTTATTCAGGAATTTATCCAGGGGGGCTTACANACTCTTACAAATTACAGCTTTCTCAGTAGGTATCACTATACTAAATCAAAGAATTATTTGAAAAGACGATATCGAATTCGTCACTGAATTCCCATGTTTATTGGGACACCCTGTATATTATATGGTATATGCATTTTTCTAATTCTTATTTTCCTTGACTGTAGTTGTACTTTAAACAAAACTTTTCATTTGGGTTAAAAATAAAAACAGTACGCCAGGCGGCCAAGAGGTGTCAAATAAGGATTTTTTTGACGGCCAAAATCTCCACTTTAGAATTTTTAAAATCAATAAATGCTTGATTTTACAATAAAAATACATTTCACAATTATTCGTTTTCGAAAAATATAAGAATTTGTTTTATTGGATTTTTATTTAAAAAAATTGTCCGACATAAGCGGGTGTCTGTGATAATTTCGCCAATCAGTTTTATTTGTTGTGCTGATTGTACAAATCGGCGAAGAAACGGATAGAGGAACAACATTGAGACTATAAACAAAGTGCGTACAAGTGTACTGAAACTGGTATCAAAGTCCGTCGCAATAAAGAATTTCTTTTCCATGAAAAAAATAAGCGTAATATTAATGAAACATCTTTAGAAAAAGTTCTCAACTTTCTCTATCTTTGTATTCAAAAATCTTCACAACCAAAATCCTGTAAATATACTTCCTTAGATTTCTCGGATGTGAGTGAGTATATGGTTAACGACAATATGTTGTAAGGAGGACAGGTTATTTGTAGAAGTTATTCTTATTATCAAAATATATGGGATTTTTCAATGTATTTTCATTGCATTTTCAACCTAAAAATCGTACGTTCCAATATAAGTCTGTTAATTTAAAAAATGTTATTGTTTTTGTTCCTTGAATATATTTCATATTTCTGGACAAAACCGATTAAGCACAAATCCAGTTTAAGAAAAGTGTTAATTGGAACAAAATACCCATGTCCGGAGAATAACTACCTCTTTTTTCAATTTGCAATTGTTGTCAAATATATTGTTGGATCAATGAAAAATTGTAAAAAAAAGAAATAAAGACATCATTTAATAACAGAATACAAAATAAAAGGTGTATTTTTTTTAACATTTACCATTTATAAAATCTACAATTGGATGTGTATTGTGTATTGTGTATTGCGCATTGTGTATTGTGTATTGTTTATTGTGTATTGTGTATTGTGTATTGTGTATTGTGTAGTGTGTATTGTGTAGTGTGTATTGTTTATTGTGTATTGTGTAGTGTGTATTGTGTAGTGTGTATTGTGTANTTCATTTTAAAATCTTATTCTTAAATCTATATGTATACTTAATGCTTTTGTGTTAGAAAGTCTAGTATGATATATTTATATGTCAAATAGTGTGTAGTGTGTATTGTGTATTGTGTAGTGTGTAGTGTGTATTGTGTATTGTGTATTGTGTAGTGTGTAGTGTGTATTGTGTATTGTGTATTGTGTAGTGTGTATTGTGTATTGTGTATTGTGTATTGTGTAGTGTGTTTTGTGTATTGTATCGTGTGTATTGTGTAGTGTGTACCCCTTTTTTTAAATGCACGACCCTACCCATGTTACATCATGCATGACATGTAGGGATGTTAACGTTTTCATTTTTTTGAAAAATTATCGTTTGTTATGAAAACGACGAGTTTTTTAAGAACGATCGGTTTAAAAGCGATCATTTTTTAAAAGTTCGTTTTTTAAATGGTCTTTTTCCAAAACGATCGTTTTTATAAAAGCTCCCCCCACAACTGTTTAACTTCATGTAAGACATCATTCAATAAAGTTGCATGTAATTTTTTTTTCAAAAACGATCGTTTTTACAAAAACGACCATTTTTATAAAGTTTGTCGTTTCGTTAAAGATCGTTAACATAATTGTCAATAAAATAAGTTTAAAACGAGTGGGTCGTTTTTAAAAACGATCGTTTTCGAAAACGATTGTAAAACGAAACAAACAAGGATCGTTTTCAAAAACGATGAACGGCCCTAATAACATGATGTAAATTTATATTTAATATAAGTGATAATAAAGCATATCCAGAAAATAAACTTTGATATTTATAAATATCTATAATTACACTTACCGTCAATATCAATCCATGTCACCGCTGTGCAAAGTACAAAGTTATATTTTTAAATCATTAAATTCTTCAATTTATCCTCTCATTCAGGCTTTCAGCAGTTCACAATTTTAAATTAAGAAACAAGTCTAGATTTGAAATCAGCTGTTCAGAGATATCTCTAGAGAAATCCGGGAGAAATAGAGTCTCTAGGTACAGTGTACACTGTCAGCTTTCATGGAACTGAATCTAACAGAGTAAACTTGTCCTTTCGAGGACGTTGGGGTGGGNCCATATTCATGGCAAACAGTAAATCTTTAAAATCCCCAATTGATTTTTACCCCTTTTAGAAAAACTTATTTTTAGAATACTCGAAACACTGAAAACCAATATGTGCACACTCTTACGAAAAAAATCAAGCTTATTTTTGCCAATTACTTCTTCTAAACTTAAGCTAGAAACAAGCACTATGCAGTTTAAGAATGTATATATCTAGGGCTACAAAAATGTTAAAGTGAGTTGTTGAGGTAAAACCAAAGACTAAGGCGTTGCAACACTTTGAAGTCGAGGCTGTCTAAAAATTTGATGACTAACTTTCTGAGTTGGGAGGATGGAGGATAAAAAAGAGTGGTGGACATGGATTGTGGGTGGGACGGCTAATCCCGTACCCAGGAGGGGGCGGAGGCACGTGCCCCCCCCCTCTCCATACATTAATTAAGACAATTTAAGAGATCAAGGAGGAAAAAAGAAGAGAAAATGAAGAAAAAAGTAAAACGATAAAAATTTCATGAAATTAAGTAAAATTTTACCAGACTTTTTTCCCATTAAAAGTAACCTTTCATGAAAACATTCTTATTACTTACAGATATTTAAAACCGAAAACTCTAGACCGAAGAAATACATATAGCTGCGGCTGTAAGACGACTTTAAAGGTCGTCGTTATCAAGGCTTTTTAAATTTCCGACACCATTTATTTCACTTAATTTGGGTAAATCAAACGTAAACTTATTCACAAATGTTTAAAAACTTGGTAAAATTTAGCTTAATCTCGAAATGCACAGTGGACACTTTTGAATTATGCGCATATTATGCTTGATTTCTCAATTTTCGACCAACCTTGAGCACTTATCCTTTTCCCACCAATCTCCGAAACTTGAATAAACTTTCTTTTCTGTGTTATGTACTTTCTCACATAAATCACACAACATCTAACAAAACAAAAAGAATAATAACAGGCGGAGCTTAAAAGTGTGATTTAGGGAACTAAAAGCGTAATTTCAAGTGACCCTTCATGCAAAGATGTCTCAAATGGACCCGCGACGATAAAATAAAATAAAATTGAATGTTCAAGTATGAGATATTAATGTTTGTAAATTTGTAGCTGATTATGTTCAATTGTGGTTTCTCTACAAATGAGGCTTGCACATTTCGTCTGCAGAAAGAAGAATTATCCTATATGATATTTTTGCAATATTACCAAAGTACTTTTTCTTTCTTTTTTTAAATTCCTTTCTCAAAAAAACATCTCAACTTGTTTTTACATCAAAGTAAAACGAGTAGATAAACAAAAATATGACTAAAGATTGTTTCGATCTATCCAATATTAAATTTTTATTGAGATCGGGTCTACCAATGAAAAGATATATCGACAAACCAATGGCTGGAAACACTTCAAATGTCGGCCTATTTGTAAATATTTTTCATTGTTTTATTTGATGAAGTTGATCTAATCACTACCTGTCCTTTAAAATATTGACGAGATGACTGAATTCTGTGAGATGTTTTCCAGTCTAGAAATCTATTATAATCCTAAATTATTCCATTTTAAATAAAATGATTTTTTAAAGTTTAGCACACAGTTGTCATTTCCATTCGTGTTTATGGTTTCAGGATAACAACAAAGACGAAATTTAACATTTATAATGTACCAGGTGGAGTATCCGGCGTTTCCAAGGTTTTAAACACTTAGAAATGAAATAAATCGAGTTTTCAGTCAAACACTCCCTATTTATGAAACTTTGTTATAGTTTTACAAATAGAGAGTGACGAATCTTGTTCTAAGAAGTTAGTCCCACCCAAATAGATTCTAGTACAATAGATGGCAAAGTAGAATTTGTACACTCTCAGTACAGTTGTATTCTGTCGTCACAAGTGTCAATTCAGTTTTTGTATCCGACAAAATTATCAATAATAGTGATAATTTTAGAATAAAGTGCTTTTCTTACAGTAAAATAACTGCAATCTTATGAGTTCTTTAGTTTCTGTTTTTACACTTTTTTATCTAATCTTGGAAAATGTGTCAACTAATTTAAGAAAAATTTCGTTTTCCTTGTTATTTTTGACACTTCTGACGTTGTGTATAATTGGTTAATTTCTCTGTTGCCACCTATTGTACTTGATAATCTATTTGGTCCTAACAATGCTAATAACAATTTCTTGTATTTAAATGTATATGTATTATTGCATACTTACCTTGCTGTTTTTATCTAGTTTTAGAAGGTATTCAGCCAACTCTTTGGGGGATTTAAAGTCCTTCACAGAAATCCAGAAATTGAAAATGCAATCAAACCATATAGATTAACTTCTAAATGAAGGTGGATTATTTTGTTTTATTCTTGGGTACGCATATTTTGTAACATTTTAAGCTTGCAAAGAATCCTTAAAATTTTGAGAAGATTGGAAATTTCCAATATTTTAGGCCAATTTCTTAATTTTTTAGATCTATAATTCTCTATAGATAAGAATACTTTTAAATCAAATTCCCTTTAGATCGAAAGGTTCATAGATCAGATTTCTGAACAACAGTGATTCTTAAATTTCGTCACAATAGTTCACGATATTTCACGATATTTCATGATATTTCACGATATTTAATGATATTTAACGATATTTAACGACATAAAATAAGAATAACTGCGTTATCCCTTTATTAGTCAAAAGCTTAAATCAAACTCTAGAACAAACTAAAGATCAATGAAGAACATAAATTGTTAAAAAAAAAATTACAGAAAAGATTAAATTGCTTATTGCCCAATCACTATAAATTACATTTACAAAATTGCCATTGATTTATGCCGCATAGATGATAGATTGCTTGGTAAGTTAGACCAGCGAGGTTTGTGTATTTTCTAGTCCAGAGTTTAGAAATTTTTGTTTTGAATTCAAAGTTCTTCCTGAACGTTTATATAGGAATGTGGAGGTGCTACATCTTTATAGTTACCGGACCCTGGAATCAACAATTATATTAGATTTGTTAAATAATAACTACAGTGAGAACCAGAAAACTGTGGAATAGGGGCACAACATTAGTGTTTTTGATGTTGTTACTAGGCAAATAGGTTTAATATAGCAATTTATTAAGTTACGTGGGGCCATGTTTACACTACAAAATAGATGTGTTTCATGTTTATTGGAGTATACGTCATAACTTGAGTCTAAAAGTCGTCTTTTAATTTTAGATTTTTCTGGTTTTCTGTATATTTTATATCTTACTTGTTTGGCTTTTTTGTCGCATTGGTTTACAAATCAATCCACATATTTTGAAAACCTGACATGCGTCGATTGTTAATAATTTGGAAATCCATATTCATGGCAAACAGTAAATCTTTAAAATCCCCAATTGATTTTTACCCCTTTTAGAAAAACTTATTTTTAGAATACTCGAAACACTGAAAACCAATATGTGCACACTCTTACGAAAAAAATCAAGCTTATTTTTGCCAATTACTTCTTCTAAACTTAAGCTAGAAACAAGCACTATGCAGTTTAAGAATGTATATATCTAGGGCTACAAAAATGTTAAAGTGAGTTGTTGAGGTAAAACCAAAGACTAAGGCGTTGCAACACTTTGAAGTCGAGGCTGTCTAAAAATTTGATGACTAACTTTCTGAGTTCTTTAGAGTTCAGTGAAAGAAGTTCTAAAAAGATAAAACTCATGCATTTTTGCGATGATTATTCCAAAATATTCTAAGCGATATTTTAGCTCGGTTAAGGTGTTTGCGTTTCCGGTTACCCCAGTCAGATAAAGTCAAATTGGCTGAAGCTGATAAGTCTAGTTGTATCGAGGAAAAACCGGTTTCAAAGCATAAATAATTTTTAACCATAGATAAAGATAGATTGCGCATAAGACGACATTTTTCATCTTGAAAGATATAAATGTGTACAGAGATGTTTTAAAGATATTATTATATATTTATATATTTATAGATTAACTAGGTCGGTTGTGAACATTAGCTGTTCTTATGTCATTGAGTACTTGTGGTGTACATGAGTTCTGTAAAGAGAAATTTAAGTTAGTTTAGTCCTTCTCATGTCCATCTTCAGTTCTCGTCAATATGATATATTGCTCAGTGAAATATTGTTGTTCAAATAGTTCCATTCCCGGAGTTATTTTACACTCTATTATGAAATCCATTAAAACACCAAACCACCCCGCTTATCATTTAAGTACACTTTGACCCCTAGAAGTATGAGTTCGCGGACTGTACAATTCTTGGTGATTTTGCGTACATAAGTTACCTATGTTTATTTATTTATCTTTGCTTTAACATCCCGCTGTTGGGGGAATCACGGCACACTGGTCGGTAATAAAAAAGCCGATAGAAAATAAATAAACCAAATGTGCGTAAAGTCTAGTTTTTATTACCTAAAACTATTGGAACCATGCTCTGTTCTAAATATACAATATTTGAAAATTAACATTTGACACTTGCCCTTGACTCATAAGGATTGAAAAATAGTATTAGGAGAACATTTATTAAAAAATTTTGAACATTTTTAATATATTCAGCCTGCCATTGTTCCGGGATTACTTTCTCTTTGTGATATTTATACATTAGATTATGTTTTGTAAAATATATCTTGATTTGTAAAATATATTATATTTTGTAAAATATATCTTGATTTGTTAATTATATTAGGTTTTGTAAAATATATCTTGATTTGTTAATTATATTAGGTTTTGTAAAATATATCTTGTTTTGTTAATTATATTAGGTTTTGTAAAATATATCTTTATTTGTTAATTATATTAGGTTTTGTAAAATATATCTTGATTTGTTAATTATATTAGGTTTGTAAAATATATCTTGTTTTGTTAATTATATTAGGTTTGTAAAATATATCTTGTTTTGTTAATTATATTAGGTTTTGTAAAATATATTGTTTTGTTAATTATATTAGGTTTTGTAAAATATATCTTGTTTTGTTAATTATATCCTGTTTTGTAAAATATATATTGTTTTGTAAAATATATCTTGTTTTGTAAAATATATCTTGTTTTGTAAATTATATTATGTTTTGAAAAATATATCTTGTTTTGTAAATTATGTTATGTTTTGTAAAATATATCTTGTTTTGTAAATTATAATATGTTTTGTAAAATATATCTTGTTTTGTAAATTATAATATGTTTTGTAAAATATATTATGTTTTGTAAAATATATCTTGTTTTGTAAAATATATTATGTTTTGTAAAATATATCTTGATTTGTAAATTATATTATGTTTTGTAAAATATATTTTATTTTGTAAGTTATATTCTCCGCTTGTTTACCAATATACAATATATAGTTACATGACACTCTTTTCATAAGTAGAGGAAAAGCATTCAAATTATAAAATCGAGAAAATGGAGTTTCTTCCCCTTGCATTCCCTTATAATTCAGAAGAGAAGGATAAAAATCTAAAATATATCATTCCGGAATTTTCGTACGGGGTTTCATTTTAAAATCTTATTCTTAAATCTATATGTATACTTAATGCTTTTGTGTTAGAAAGTCTAGTATGATATATTTATATGTCAAATATTGTTCCTAGAGTGTTCCAAAACTTTTCTGTGATATAATCCTCGCAAAGTGAATTTTCAAAGGAAAGGTAGAATTTGTACCGAGTTCCAAGGTTTCCATAACAACTGTCATCACATTCGTTTTTATTCTTGGAACATTTTCCAAACTGATCAATAGGAATCCATTTTTTCAATTCCTAAAAGCTAGTTTTAATTCAAATGTTTTACTTCCTGCAAAGAATATATTTGAAAAATGTATTTCAATTAAATTGTTCTCATTCTGAAAATCCTTCTTAACTCTAAAGGTCGAGGGGGGTGGGGGGGGCGATGTGCATTATTGTTTACATTTTCCGACGTACTTTTTCTGAAATCATTTAATTGTATTTGGCATTAATTAAGTGTTTATTAAAAGAAAAGACTTTCTACCCTCATACCTTTCTAACTTACTGCATAAAGGAAAAATACACGTCGTACCTTAACATATTCCTCTCTCTGTGAATCTGTTTGACAATGAGAAACTACCCAGGCCACCAGCTTCCTATTTTTACCAAATGATTTATTGTTAAATTGAAAACAATTAAATCACGAATCAGTTCTACAAGTTCATCTGGAAAAGTTCTAGAAGCGAAACTAATTAGATTATATTTTAACATTACATTTGAAAGATGATTTTAAGGTCGTCTTTGATCTTTAATTATATAAGCCTGCATATTTTTTTCTTCAAAAAGTTCAAAAATAATCAATGTTTTGCTTTTTTACAAGGGTTCACAATTAAATACCGCAAATTAATTCAAAACTTAACGATGACAATTAAGTTGTTTCTGAACTATTACGTTTTGTAGAGTCTCAATGCAGTAAAAACCTTAATTGTTTCACCCACCCCTACAGCGTCATACCTATCATCTATTGTTTTAAAATTCAATTCTTTTTTATCCATCTTTCCTCCTGATATGTTGTCTCTAGAATCTGTTCTAATAGATGTCATTTCTCCATATGGTGAAAATATATCAGAGTCTCTCCGATAAGTCATTGTTAAATTAAAGAATGATTGAAACCTAAATAAATATTCTCACAAAGTTTAAAGGAACTGTAGACTAGGTAAAACTACATTAGTAGGATGACATGTCTGATTTACAATAATTCTCGTTAAAAGGTTTCTCTGGTCAGAAATTTATGAGAAACTAGTAAATAGTGGCGGATTTATGATGCCAGAAACAATGACAAAAATTGTTAGAATTTTGACACATTTCAATTTAGCATAACAACAAAAAAATCTTCTTCATTATTGTTTAGATAAAAGTTTAAAGGATAGCGTTGTAAATCGATCATAAACCCCTTTAACGACAAATAGACCCCCCTCCCCTGCTTCCAAAATTCAAAATCGGGTTGGTTGAGACCGAGTGCCGCATTCATAACTGTTATCAGTGCTTGATCTCGGTCTTTTACTATTCTAGAAATTAGTTTAATCTTTATTTGATATCCATGAACAACCAATCTGAAGCCAGGGAATATGTTGTGTTAAACCGATTCTGCGTAAAATTTAAAATTGCCCATTGTGTATATCGAGATCAATTGATTGCAATTATGAACATCCAACAAATAAATTGCCAGCTCATTGCTAATTTTTTATCTTAAGTAAGGAGAGAGAGAATTAAGGGGGGGGGTGTTCAGTAGTCGGAAAGTAGAAAAAAATACTCACTCTTCACTAAATCCATCAATATTATCATTAATAGGAGATTCAAGGCTAAAGAATACATACAACTGTTTTGGACTTCTAGCAACCGGGATCTTAATGTTAGACATGAATATACATTGAAACCAATAAATCTGTGGAATAGGAAGACGACATTTAAACAATCTTAAGTGCATATGATGTTGTTACAAAGCGGAATGTTTTTAAGTTGCTTAAAAATCAATTTATTTAAAGAAATGCGTGTACAGCACAATTGCTATGTTTGTGTACTATGGACTATTCAAATCATAACTTAAGTCCTGCAAATTGTCTTTCTAATCCTCAATGTTTATGGGTTCTACTTAAGCAATTGATAAAACTATTTGCTTTGTAACATCAGTATAAAATACTTATAAGATTGCTTAAAGATTTTCTTCCTATTCCACAGTTTTATACATATTTAATAGAGAGAAAGTTCAGAAGAGGAAAAATTAAACACGTAGTTAACACCCTCCCCCCCTCTTCCTCAACAAGACAAATCATTGTTTTTATTAAAATACCTGGTGATCTTTAATGTTTTGGGAATGGAATATTAACATATCAAAATCTTTGATATCCGACAATAACGATCTAAAAAGTAAAATCAAGTTGAGATTCAATATATTGTCTTCCTAAACAAGAAAATCCTCCAACAAGATAATAGAAATCCTCAATTCTCAAAATAATGTTCGTTTCCTTCACTTAGAATCTACTATTTTTGAAATAAAAGTGCATTAAAGAACTATACCGAAAGCATGCTATTGTTCAGAGGGTTGAAAAAGTTGTCCGAAATTGGCCAATTATCATTTTCACAGATTCAAACAGTTAACGACAACGTGCTTTAAAAATTTGACCTATTGTTTGTTATAAAGCAATTATTCACTGAACAATTGTTGACAATAAATGATTGTTGTCCAAACCCATATCCAAAGTTGTCAGTGGACCAAAACTAAAGTAAAATTAAAGTACAACTTAACAATAATATATATAACAATCATAAACCAATTTATTCTTAAGATAATTTAAACCACAATGTAAAAATATAATTAAAATAGAATTTACAGCATACGTAATATACAGGGTGTCCCAATAAGCATGGAAATTGAGATTGACTTTGACTTTCACCTTCAAAGTTGACTGAGATATTAGGAATTTTTTCCTGAATCTAGTTTATTATGAATCAACAAAACTGTTTAAATGTTTAATATTTCGGTCAATTTGTAAGATACAAAAAAGGTAGACCAAATTTTGGAAAGTTCATTAGACTTTCAATTTTTTTTTATGCCCTTTATGAAATTTGTCAATTATCGGAAATCAAAGACGATATTCAAGTCGTTTCTCAATTCCCATGTTTATTGGGACACCCTGTATTTATATATTACGCAAATTTTGTTCAATCTTTGCCAGCAAACCTGTTTTTGGTTGAAAGTGGAGGGAGGGGGGGGGGGGGGGGGGGGTAATCATTTCATTTTTCCTTTTTGTGCAGGGATTAGAAAATTTTAGTTTGTGGCAAAAATTAAATTCCTATAAAGTAATTAAGTTGTGATGAGAAAGGAAAATAAATACATTTGATGCAGACCCACAAGCAACAAAAAAACATGAAACCATAGTTAAATACTTTAACTATACCTTGGTATAGTATAAAATATATTTTATGGTCGGTCTATCTGAAAATATTTAAAAGTATGAAAACTAAATGATTTGGGTGAAGTTAACTTTAAAAACTTAATTTCAAATGAATCTTTATTTATAATGTGGCATGTCCGATTCACAACGGTACCCTTAATAGATTTGTCTGATATAGAATGAATCAGATATCTATTATTTTTTTTTTTAAAGCTGATTATTTTTAATCGTGGTTTCTCTATTAAGTGACTAGGAAATTTCTGTTACAGAAGCAATATGGAGGAAATTGTAAAAAATAAACGCTTTTTAAGTTTTAAAGGGTACCGTAGTAAATCGGACATTCTACTCTTTAAATGGACTGAATGTCACTTGAAATTACAATATTATAGCTAATTTAATAAAGAAAATAAAATGCATAAAGCTAGCTGATCACTTTTAGAAGGTTAAGGAAGTTCACAGAACATTATCTCAGTTTTTAAATCTACTTAATAATTATTAGATAAATTTTAAATCAAATAAAACATATAATCTCATATTTTAAATATTTCCTTGTCCTCCATTGATGCGAAGTAATTGAAAAGGTGTGGACATTAATATGAATCCTAAAAATGTTGAATCAAAGAATTAAATATGTAAATGACACATTTGAAGTAAATTGAGAGAACCAGAAAACTTTGGAATGGATAATCGTATTAGTTCTTTCTTTGATATTTATATCGCTAAAGAGTTTTCAGTTTGATATTGTTGCAACTATAACAAATTTCAAAACTTATATATTTATTACACTTTTCTGTAAATAGTTAAGTTACAAAGAAAGAATTCTATTAGATATTTTAAATTTAAATGAAAAAAAGATGACGAGAATTCCACTGTTTTCGGGTCCTCACTGTACCAAAACATGATATTGTTTAAATATTATTGATCAATTTTGAAAATTACCAAAAATCAAGAGAAGAAATAAAATAGATAATTTTCGCCTTAAATGCATATTTTTATCTTAAAAAATTTCGCATGTAAAAAAATTTATTATCATTTAACTTTATTACATAATAAACGTCCTGATTTAGGCTTCTTTTGGATCCTGCAAAGTATAACTAGAAAGTGCAGCAATTTGAACAGTGATTATAATTTTAAATATTGACATTTTTCTAGCAACATTTTCAGCAAGTAACGTTTTATAGGTAGAGGTCGTTTATTTATAGACTTTTTCTGTCACTACAAATGTCAACTTTTTGTAACTAAACTGGGGTTTATTTTTTCAGTATGTTTATTTGCTCACGAATCATCAAAAATTTAATGATAAATGAATTATTATTTCTAAAAGATTTCATTTCAAAATGAGCTGAAATCTCAAGATGCCAAATTGATTATCTACCGTAGTAAAGAAAATAATAGACTACATGTTAAAAAAGGGTTCTTAAAATTTTAATTGGCCAACTTTTCATCATAAATCTTAAAAGATTGAAAAATGGAACAGTTGTTATTAATCATTCTTGTAAAAAAAGTGCAAACAAAGTAAAAATAACAACCCTAAATCTGAAAAGGCGCGGCGGGGGGTGGAGAGAGGGGGGAAGTGGGGGAGTCTAAATAAATATAAAACTTTGGAGACTTTCTTAAAACCCCCCTTCTCCTAGTAAAAAGGCCCTTATAGAGTTCAGAGTTAACTAAGGAATGAAAAGTAGAAACGCTTCTTGACAATCCATCACAAAATATAATTAAAAATGGATTAGTACTCAGCTGCAGGGATCGAATTTAATGATTTGGAGAAGTCGCTAAACTATATTTTAGAAATACCGCCGGTTCAGTTATCTCGATATTTATCTAAATCCTCGTGAATCTTTAAGGGGAGAGATCGGCAAGGTAACATAGTTGAACCGAGAGTGCAAGATTATAGAGAAAAATTTTAGAATTTATTTGATAAACCAATGAGACTTTTTTTTGGTGTATGATTTCTTTGTAAAAGCTTAAATTTGTTTTCCACCCCCCCCCCCATGATGTTTCCTTAGAGTTGAGATAGGGGAGTGGGATACATGTCACTATAGTCCAACTTATTATTAAAAAAATTTAGATATCTAACTTTACTGGTTTGGGTGCTATTTAGGTTTTAAAAAGTTCAAAATGTACGTGGGAAAAAATATCTTTTCTATTTTAGATAATGTTGACATGTGTGTAACATGTTTTTACATCCATTTTTCAAGGACTTCTTAAATATATAAATCTTTAATCTGCAGATTAATAACTAAGAAAGTTATTGACTACTTTTAATTTTTTTTCTAAATCAGAACGTTTGAACGTCCTCCACACTGTGCTGTTACACACCCTATGCATACAAAAATTGCTAAAGGACTTGAGTCTTTGTCACAAACTCAAATTTGTTAATCCTTATATCTCAGCAACTTGATGGTGCAAAATTGTGGGTTCTTTACAGAAGTGACTGCAAATTGTTACTGCAGGAAAACATGTGAGAGTTAGTATAATTAAATTTCAAATAACCCTCCATCAACGAGATTATATTTTGTATCGGTATAGAGTGGTAATGTACTCTAATTGTTTACTAATGCCAGGAACTATACCGAGAGACTACTGCATATTTGTTTATTTTAAGAAGATTCTGGCCTAACCTATAGTAAATCATCATCAGTAAAAAGTTTTAAGTGAACAGTACAGCTTTCTGAGTACACAGGTTTAGAACCATCATTTTTTTTTAACTTCTTTTGAATATTTCTTTCATATGTGGGTTCTCCTCAAAAGTGACTTTCAAATATCTTGATTATATGAAACAATGGAAAAATTCACAGTAATAAAATGAAAAATAAACACTTTTCGAGTCAGAAAAACGAGATTATCTGACATGAAGTACAGTTGTAAATCGTGCATTGCTACTTTTCATGGAGGGTCAATTAAAATTATGCATTCCCTTTAATTGAATATATGCGTTGCTGCTAAATATGACAGGCCGAAGAACACTTTTTGGCTGGCAATTTCAACTTCTTTTGAAGGCTTGATTTAAACAGGTGTTTCTTTTTGTTTACTTGAAACAAAGAAGCACTGAACTATTTGTTATGGTATAATTTTACTGCCAACAACAACGCGAGAGTAGTTATCTAGTAGCAAATGTTGATTCTTGTAGTTCAAACAAAGAGAATAGAATATATATTAGAGGGGAATTATACTAGAAAAAAGTGTAAAACGGCCTTTTTGTTGTATTGTTTCCATACTGCAGATGTACTTCACATATTTATGCTATATAACCTTTTGGGCCCAAGAATATCATTTTATAGAAAATCTAAAATTAATATTAAAAGAAAACCAAATTATGAAATAGGCTGGTTTCATAATTGACCAATGATCATTTCACATAGACTCTATGCCTTTCACTTTACAAACGATGATTTTTTGTTATAACTAAAAATCAAATTTGTTTTTTATTCACCCAATTCATTATAAAGTTNGGTTTAGTTGTCTGGGTAGGTGGAGTTGGATGGGGATATAGTAGGGTTTAGTTGTCTGGGTAGGTGGAGTTGGATGGGGATATAGTAGGGTTTAGTTGTCTGGGTAGGTGGAGTTGGATGGGGATATAGTAGGGTTTAGTTGGATGGGTAGGTGGAGTTGGATGGGGATATAGTAAAGTTTAGTTGTCTGGGTAGGTATAGTGGAGTTGGATGGGGATAGGCGTAAATCTAAAGGTGAGTCGGTTTAAATCTGATAATTTATTTATTTCATAGATTACAAATACATATAATAATATATCAGTTAAAAACATCAATTGTTCTAAAATGTTTAATATTTCTCATGATAATGTAAAATCTAATGAAAATCAAGTCTACAAGTTATCTTCCATGTTATATCCAAACATCAGAAAATCAGATTCATATCTTTTCCCAAGCTGTTTCAAATCCTCCCTAAAAGAAATTTAATTTAAATAAAATAAAGAAATATTTGGCATAAAATAACCAGAAAATTCTGAAATAAGAAGACGACTTTACAGCAATACTTAAATGTATTTGATGTTTTTACAAAGCAAGCAGTTTTACTAGACACTTTTAAAGTCACTAAATAAGAAAAATGGGTCTGTTTACTCTGCATTATTGCTGTGTCCCATGCTTATTGGACTATTTAAAGTCATAGCTTGAGGCTAAAAGTCGTCTTCCTATTTCAGAGTTTTCTGGTTATCGTTAATACCTCTTACCTCTTACCCGTTAAAAGGTCTGTGTAATTTCAAGTGACCGTCTATTTGTAAAGTAGTACAGGGTGTCTCACGAAACATGGCAGTTGGTGAATAGTCTAAAATGTCTTCTTCCATAAATTGTTAAATTTTTGATATCAAAGAGACTAATAAAAGATATTATATGGCAGTAATATTGTATTAAAAGTGATTTTAAAGTAACTATATTCGAGAAAAAAAATTTTTTAAAGAAATAAACTGCAAAATGACTGTAATGTCTAATACAGTTTATGAAAAGACATTTAAAACTTTTTACCAACTGCCATGTTATGTAGTATGCGCAATTCACGATGGTATCCTTTAAACCATTGTCTGATTATTGATTCCTAGGATTTCTTTCTAGTTAAACATTCACATTTTTACTTAGGGTTAATTGATAAAGGGAAGGAACTTGTCAAGACTTTAGACGTAGAAAAACGATGATATCTTCCTAATTGTTGTTCAGATCAAGTTGTGAATTAGGTACATATCCACAGTGATCTTAAATGTGCAGGCTCGCTAACATTTTGTCAATTACTTATTTTATGATTGTAATTATTAAAATGTCATGGCTTGGATCTCGTGCTACAAAAATGTGTAAGTGACTTAGTTAGGTGAAACCAAAGTCCAAGTTCCTGTAACTCTTCAAAGTCGACTAAGTCTTGGAAATTGATTCACACTTTTAAGAGCTGCCGGGATCTCTGTAAATCAATATAAAAAATGAAGGTCCCTTGAAAATATATGTTTAAATTTACCTCGAAATTTGTTCAAAATAATAAGACAAATCTTCTTTTTCTTCTTTATTCTCCCAAGGCAGGATCAAGGAGGAGGGAAGATTAACATCTTGTTAAAAGAGGGCTGGAAGGCTTCTTCCGAGCCACATTCATTTTCTCATACGAGCCAACTCAAATTGCTCATTCGTGCAATATTGTTGCAATTTTTAAGAACACAGAACTTTAAATCTTTAATTAATGAAAATCAAATGGTTCGATCGTTGAAGATTACCACCTTTCAGAATTTGCAATAATTTGGTTCATTTTTTAATAGTTCTACAGAAATATGAGAAGTTTTGCAAACAAAATTGTCTATTCTAAAATTTTGTTTTCTTACACTATGCCATTGCCAAATGTTGTTCCTATGATAAAATATATAAAAACAATAGTTTTTGGTTAATTTTGTTTTGCTTTTTTCTCCTAAAAATATTTCAGACTTAACTAAATATATATTTTTTTTAAAGTTGAAAACAAGACGAATCATTACGACTATAACCCAATACTAAAAAGTGGATCGGAAGAGAAAATAGGAAAAACTTGGCTCGGCTGAAAAATTGTTGCAATTTAGCCTTCCATCCCTCGTTTAAAGTTTTCCCAATCAGTTGATAACTGCTCATACCTCAGGATATGGGTAAAATCCAGCTGGCATAGTCTAAACATTTAGGTTTCTTTATTTTTTAAAAGTTTCATCAAATATACTTCTTTTTTAAAAATGGGTTTTCTGTAGGGCTAAAGATTTTTCGGGAACGAAGGTTTCTTTCAGAAAAGTTAACGAACGATTAAATACTGATTTAGATCGTTCAAAGAAAATAAAACACAAATGAAGAAACGAACGATTAAAAACTGTTCCAAATTGTTTGCATTATTTGGATCAGCCAGACCAATAACGAACGAGATTTTCGACAGAACGCAGGAAAAAGTATGATTTTTTACTTAACGAAATTTTTTTAGAATGAACTTGAAAAAACGACTGAAAAATAACTAACGAAATGGCTCCTTAACGAACAAGAAACAAACAAATTGAAAAACAGTTCCGATGAAGTTTCCAAAAGCTACTTTTCATGTAAAAAGGAAGACGGTGAGAATAGCACTGTTTTCTGGTTCTCACTGTGTAACTAAACGGTCTTTTTTGTTCTACTTGTAACCAGGCATAAAATAATTAGAATTACACAGACTTACTCACAAAGGATAAGCTACTGTTTTGATGACCCCAAAACTCCTTATATTAACGATCTGAAGTCTTTTTTTACAGGGTAACTTTGTATGTTTATTTTTGTTTCTAAGAAGGGGATAAAATGGGTATTGGGTAACTTAACAGCTTATCTGGAGTCATATCAATCATAGTATTTTATCTTTTATCATCCCAGAAAGCAAAACATATATGTATAACCAATTCTATTAAACCATGCAAAATACTGCATTTACAACATATAACTTTCAATTCTTTTATGTTTAAAGATATAAAATAATTCTCAAATTTTTGGGATTGGAAACGCAACTAAATCTAACATGTACCAAATCATAGTTTACAACCAAGTTACTGTAAATATAGTGCCGTTTGTATATAGGACAGTTGATGCAACTCCTGGGGTATATATTTGAACCCAGATAAGTTGCCCGTTACATATCTATTTTTAGAACCTCAAGCCAAGCCCGACGGGGTCTAAGTCGTTATCAGGATATCCAGATAAGGTGGAGCTAGAATGAAATCACGGTTTCTACATCGAGACGGAAAGGAATCCGCCATATTGGAAGGGAGATAAGATCAGTCTCGACAAGGAAACGAACGAGATTGGTTCAATGGAAAACACATTCGCCACTGGAGGCGAATGCTTTTTCAGCTTTTTCAGCCCTGATTCATCTTTTATTATTCATTGTTTGTAAATATTAATTTGTAAATATAGTTTGGTGTGCAATGCTGCGTTCTTATTGAATCCAGTCTAGGCAATAGGCCATTTACTTTTCAAGTCTATACTATACATTAAATCCGAGATATTCCCCAAAAAGCATGTTTTTTTTCTTTAAAGAAGTTTTTACAAAAAAAGTATTGAGTTCTGTAAAAGTGTTTTTTATTAATTAAACCCTAGCTGACGAATATATAGATTCTGGTGATTTTATAGTCAAAAAAGAAAATAGGGTATTGTGCTCATTTTTCAGAAAAGTGAACAATCTTTTAAATACCTGCATCTAAGAGAGATGGGCTGCCAGTGTTCATCATCGGCAGTTATATCAGTGTTTAAGATAAATTTGATAAATTCTAAGAAACTTGGTTCCGGAGAATTGTTTGCAACTGTTCCTCTACTCAGTCTAAAATGGAATAAACACTCACCACAAACTTTTAATCCCTATATCTTTGTAACTTTTTAAATTTTTGATATATCAAACATTGAGCATTAATTTTGTATAACAGAATTCAAAGTTAGCAATATGGAAGGTCTACACCATCAGACTGCAAAGATATAGGAATTAAAATCTCAAAGTTTGTGTTGTTTTAATATCTGAACAATTTGTTTTTAACATTTTAAGTGAGATAACTATTAAACTTACTTGATTATACTTTTTGAATATTTATTGTAAAAAAAGTTTCCGTCTTGATATTTAGTTCTATTCTCCAGTTTGTTCCTGAATGCTGAAATGATGCGAGCAAATGGGTGCCGAGAAATCAAAAATCTAAAAATCACTTAGAAATAAACAGTTCTGCAAACGTAATAAGAAAGAATGCAATTTTAGTAGATATATGATGACATTTAAAAAAAAAACATATTAATAGTTTTTAAAATTATGGTGTTTTTAAGGAATGGAATGCTAATTTAATTTAAAAATAAAAATTCAGATCACTTTACTGGCAGAA